TCCAATTTTTTACTTTAAACATTTAGTTATTATAAAAATAATTTAGGTACTCGTATAAAAATCCTTGTCCATTGTAGAAATAATTGTCCTTTTTTTTTCATTGGATATTTCATGCATAATAAATTAAGATTAAATATCATACTTCATTTAACTATACTTATTGTTTAAAAGTAAGATAAACCATACTTTTCTACATCATTAAACGTAATAATGTTATACCCATGGTCGATAATATATCAAATTAAAATTTCATAATTCCACATTCAATATCAAACGAATATTACTTATTCCGATATTTATGTAAATTACACGGGTAATTTATAAGTTCTTCAAAAATTAACATTTAGCGAATGCTTAATTAACATCTAAACTATAATTTAAATTTAATTAAAACAAGGAAACAAAAGAAATAGATTTTCAAAACTGAAAGTTAATAGGAAATCTATATAAATCTGACAAATGTAGTTGGTGTTATCATGGAACAAAAACAAAAAGGATTACAAAAAAAAGTTTCAGTAGTGAATGTTTCGAAAAAATCAACAATTCAATTCGTCACTACTGATAAAATGTAAAATCTTCAGTACCTACTTGAAATTATTAAAAACATTTCAAAAGGGCAATGATTTTTGTCTTACGTATATCAATAACTCCTTGTCAATAAAGTAATTCTCGTGTTTTAAAAATAACGTACTCGATATAAAAATTAATTGTCGTGCAAAAGTAAATAATAATACTGAAAAACATAAAGTTTATAACTTAAAATTATATTTGAATTATCATAATATTTTCATTTATTATTATCAACCTCGTGTATAAATAATACTTATGGTTTATTGAAAATATAATATAATAAAGTGTAGAATATAGGTATTATCCGTTTCGTTAAATGATTGTGCATTTATATTATAGACATGTAATGTATTTTCATTAAAATTCACGATCTGGACGAATTTCAATGTCTGGACATCCAACTCGTGAAATAAGTGATTTCCCTATGTGTATGGTCCTTTTGTGTATTTTCATTATTTTTTTTATCCTAATATATATTGTCAACACTTCATAATTGATCATTTAATATCTCAAATCAATATTTTGTGTCATTTTTTTAATTTTATTTTTTCCTCAATAAACAGACAGCAATTGAACCATTATAACCAAGGCCCAGATTTATATGCATTTGCATAGTTTCTTTTAACACTTCAAAAAGTAGCTAATTAAGCTACAACTCTACACGTTTGAATTATAGTCAAAAGATCCAAAATACAAAGTTTTATTTTGCATATTTTGTCATTTTTCGATGTATACTGTCCATTTCTGTATTTACGATTTTTCATTCCATTATATACGAAAACCAAAGTGTTTCAAACCTAATTGTTTTACTATTGTTACTTGATTTTACTCACATATACTATGGTTCGTAAGGTATTTGTTTTCTTATATTATCTAATCACCTCGAGATAAGGATAAATCGGTCGGGACTAGTGGTTGTAATCATATTTTACATAATTTAAGTGCATATTATTCCGGACCCAACTTATAACACTGAGTATCCATTTATTTATAGGTACTCTTAGTATTTCCTAATTATTATGTATAGGCATTACACCTCATCAAATTTATTTTTTTTTTTTTGATAAAATAACAATAAGAAATTTGTTTAGAAAATAAAATATTCGTGTGTCATAATATAGTAGTGAAAAATGAGAGTATAATTATTTGCACATATTTATATTGTAATAGGTAATTAACACATTATTGTTAAAACTTATAACACATACAAAATATATCTCGCTTAAAATATTTTTAAATTTAAACCAAAGGATAAATGGCAGCAGTTGCGATACCACAGTTATTGTTCTTATTACGTGCCATCAATATATAACCATTTTCGCCCCATTCCTCACCCCAAGAATTCTTAACAATCCAATAGTCTTCTCCCGATTCTGTGGTGTTATAACCAACAGCCAGTACAGCGTGGTTGAGCTGTGTTGAACTACAATCAGACGCGTAAAACACTCCTGATTTATAAAAGCCGAAGTGAAGCGCCGAAGAGTCAATGGCAACAGATATCGGCCCAACATTAGCCACGGCTTCCTTGAGAGCGTTTTCGTCTCCATTCTTAATTTTTACGAAGCCTCTGTCGGTAGCACCCCTGTTTTTGGCACTGTACTTACATTTTCCTTCCTGTAAATATTATAATAAATAATGTCCTTATATATGTGATAAACAACTCGATGTAGTCTTACTTTGCCCGTATAAGGATACGAATTCTCAGTATCAATTCCTCTGTTATATTTGATGTATCTAAAAGCATTATTCATATAGCCATCCGTACAACCAGAATTACCAAACCAATGAGAACAATCGACCAAATTTTGCTCGCTCAATGATACAAGCTTCCCCGTCTTCCGGAAATGTTGTCCTTCCAATGCTCCAGTCTAAAATTAAAACATATACCATTTGATAACACAATGGAACGCATTTTAGGGAGTGGAAGCGACGAGTTTCTGTCTTCGTCCTACACACGTGTAGTATAGGGATTTAAACATTTCCAACGTACCGATTGATCTAGTGAAGGGATAAGAATTCTGAAAACAGATTTAAATTTATCATGAAATGTACTTGAGATCAAATTTCCCAATTTTTATATTTATCTCCCTTGATTCTGAAAAAAGCCATACTAACAAAATAGTAATTGAAAAAAGACGTATTGGGACAATGGGGACGGGTGCAGCTGAAAATCTAAGCACGATTTCTGGTAGATAAATTGCACATAAATTAAAAACAATAATAATAAACATCTTTACAAAACCATAAGTTTCTTCGCTCCACTTAGAATTTAAAATGGAAAATTTTAAATTTTCAAGAAATTATATTTAAAAATCAAAAAAGTGGGAAACTCAATCATGTAGACTTCACGACAAATTCAAACCTGCTTTTTAAATTCGTATGGATTCATTAGAACAATCGGTACGTTGGAAATAAAACACGTCTAAATCCCTATATTTCACTTGTGGAAGACAGAAATTTGTTTAATAAATTTAATTAACCAATTTCCTTAACATGTATTATATGTTAATTATATTAAACCAATAAGACGCGAGCAGGCAAACCCAAACGCCATATTATTATTATTGTTATTATTTGCAAGATAAAATGTTGAAAATGCAATGATATTCAACATAACGAGGGTAAAATTTTATATTCCACCTGCAAAAGAAATTCGCACTATTATTATCAATGATTGAATGACAATGTATTTAGCAAGTTGTCATATATTACGAAAAATAGATGGGTTTGCAATGATTGCACGACTAGCAGGGAAAATAAAAAAGGATTGTAATCAAATAGTTAAAAAAAAAATTGTAATATTTAACAATTAGCGGAATTAGTCCACTACTTGAGTGTCAAGTCTAATCAATTAATTAGTACTGTAACAAAAATTCTAAATGAAATAAAGAAAATAAGAGAAAAAAATGCAAAGTTATCAATTGAAATTCAACTGGTAAGGACTTTAGTTGATAAATTAGAACAGAAAGCATTTGAATTAGCAGTAGAAGTTGTAGGTGTACCAATAACACAAAATTAGGATTGTAAGTTTCCAGTTAAAGAAGTGACTGAATAAATTTTAATAAACCCAATTATTGTACACAGAAAAATTAAGTCATTATCATATTATAAACTAAAACTTACAGCACTAAACGCCCAACACGATCCGCAATCAACACCTTGGTCTTTGACAGGTGTCACGTATCCTTCGTTCCTCCAGTCGACCGAACTGGGGGTAATCACATTTTCAGACCTCAAGAAAGTCACCGAATCACCATCATCAATGTCATTTGTTTTCAAATAATTAAATCCATTCATTTTTCCAATAATTTCATGAGCAGTCTAATGTATCATAATAATTGTTCGAATTGAATATTACAAAGAAACCTGGCTTATAAAATCAAATAGTTATATGTGTAATTTGTATAGTGCATACCAAGTCACCAAATTTATTCATTCCTAACTCGTATGATACTTGACCTTTTTCGTACAACTTGTTGTGTTTCTCGATTTTCACCTTGTTTTCTAAGTATATATTTTTACGGAATAACTCTTCTTCGACATTCTTGTATACTTTGTTAAACTTTACCTGTAAAAAAAAAAATATATATATATAACATCAATTTATTAGCATTTTATACATAGATAAACAAGTATTTTGTACACACTTTGAACGAATTCCANCGATTTTCACCTTGTTTTCTAAGTAAATATTTTTACGGAATATTTCTTCTTCGGCGTTCTTGTATACTTTGTTAAATTTAATCTGTAAATAAAACAAATATAACCTCAATTTGTTAGCATTTCATTGATGGATAAATAAGTATTTTGTACACACTTTAAACGAATTNTTTCGTACAACTTGTTGTGTTTCTCGATTTTCACCTTGTTTTCTAAGTATATATTTTTACGGAATAACTCTTCTTCGACATTCTTGTATACTTTGTTAAATTTTACCTGTAAAAAAAAAAAAATATATAACGTCAATTTATTAGCATTTTATACATAGATAAACAAGTATTTTGTGCACACTTTGAACGAATTCCATTCTTTTGAAATATCCTGTATAGTCATTGAGCACACAGCACTAATAGATATGGCCACAAATCCCAAAACAATCAACACCTTCATATTATCTATATTAAAAATGAAGTAATTAGATTAAATGCAGTCGATAGTTTTAAATTATTATTAATTTCACTCGAATTGAAAGTAAAAAAACGATGTAAAAAAAAACTGTGAAATTACAAGCCTAATCCTAAATGTCATATAGAAGAACAAAAATGAAAGGTACGATATTGAATTTATAGCCTTAATATTACCAGAATTAAAAATATATCAAATACTTATAATTACCAAATTTGTATTTCAACTATTGATATAAATGGCAGTATAAAAAAAAAAGTATTGATTATTCAAAAATTATAAATTATATTATACTTTAGATGTGTCGAATTCCTTTCTAGTTTATTTTACTTTAGTCGGCCTTCATACAATTTTTCAAAATCATCTTCTAAAATATGTTTATAATCCGAATTTTCAATTTATTTTAGTTATTTTAACCAAATAAAAATTGAAGTATTGAAAAAATTTGTTTATTTCTTTATATAGTCAAGTAAATATTGTAAATATGGTAAATTCTTTAGTAATCATTATATGGAAATATAATGATAATTAGGTAGGTACATACCTTTTATGAGGAATACGTTTTTCGCGATGTACGTTCTTATCTTATTCCCTAAAACTTCTTTAAACGCAGTTTTTTGAACAATTTAAACACTAATGATAGTAATGTCTATCTGAAGAGAAATCGTAATTTAAAGCTTTTATATATAAAATACAACTCGAAGAAACGTTTTTCTGATATGGTTTCATACTATATTACCTGTTTGGTATCAAATTATTAGATATAGTAACCATTGTAGTATTATTGAAGTGTACTTCACTAAAAAAATAAGTTTATCTAAAGTGGCTACATGGTTTTAATTAGACTCAACATGATTACTAATTTTTATCGTGTTGATTAAAATTTTTCTGGACTTTCAAATGTTTTTAACTGAAACGTATATCATAACAAACAAAAAGGTTATATAGGTATCGCTTTATATATTAATAACGTAAACGTAAACGTTTCACATCGTTATAATTCCATCATGTCATGAGCGTTGGCTGTAAAAAAAAACTAAAAACCCATACTTTAAAATCCTTTAAAAACACAATTTTTAACAATCCTGTTAAATCAATAATATTAAGAGTTATGGAGGTAGGTTTCATAAAATTATTTAATGTATATCTGTACATAACGTTAACACATGACTAACGAAATACGATACTGAGCATTTTGAGATTAAATGTTGACGAAAATCCGAAATCATTTCATGTGAGCAATGGTTTATCGTTGCTTACATACATAAATTAAATAATTTGGTGTACCCTAACCTTTCCAATTTTTAAACCTAATTAAATATTCAAGCATTGAAGGATGATCCTCTCCAGAAGCTTGTCCACGGTACCAAGCATGCACAAGTGTCGAAAGCGCAAGTTCCTCTCATAAACGTAATGATGGTGCCGAGGATGGAGGACACACACGACCCCCTCATAAGACAGTACCTTTATGAAAGTAATTGACAACTGTCAATAACAAATAATAGTAGGTGTGTAATTATTTTTCTTATCTCTTATTATATTCATTTCAATATATATATATATATAATATATATTTTATTATGAGAGTACCTGTCATGACAATTTATTTATTCAATTATTATTTATACAATCATCCTCGTAACTATGTACTATTTTTATTACTCTATACTAAATATTTCTTTTAACTATTTTTTTTAATTAAATTATTATTATTACCGAAAATTCAACATTAAATAATTGCAATGCACAGTGATAGTGGTTAATATTGAATAGTTTTCCTATGTGTTTTTAGATAAAAATACCTACAATTATGTATACGATTTGCTTGGATTTCTCCGTGTAGCACTTTTCCTGATAGGTAATCGGTGTAGGGAGGTTACTTTAGAGAGGTCATTTACGAAATATAATAAATACAAGCTTGCGATATTTTTTTAATGTTTAAAATTTTTCTACAATTTCGTTCCAACTATTAGCGATAGCAATTTTTCCTAGAAAATGTGAAAAACCGGGAAAATCGTAGGAAAACTTTGAAAATGGGTACACCATCAAACAAAATTTATTTAAAAAAATACATTAAGCCTATTTACAAATTTAACTACAAAATGACATATATATATTGTTGACAAAGCATGACTATCAAATTAACTCCGCTCAGAATCGTTTTTTTGTAAGTAATGGTTTATCATTACAGATATACATCAAATTCCCATCTATATCCTATCTTCCCAATTATCCACCTACACCAGTGGCTGCATCCGATTCCATTATCTAACCTTTCTTTTTTCTAATTTATTATAATTCAACAACCTCCCTCACTGCAATGTGAATTCATAATGTGTAATTAATTCATTTTATACGTAAAATCTAAATTTAAATAGAAATTTGTTCTGGTATCTACTTCATTACCAATACCAACTATTATAATATATACATACGTATATGTATATCAATCATTTGATGATTATCTTTTTTAATCTTGATATTAATGGACAGCTAATGAATTTTCTTTAATTATTCAATTTATTCACATGCGTTTAATGTTTAATAATTTATGAAACAGTTTATAGGTAAAACATAAGTGACAATATTGATATATATATATATATATGACACTATTCTCACTTATCTCACTTATCTACAAAGTACCTATACTAAAATAATTGACTTAAACAAATATTAGATATATATATAACTTCTTATTAAATTTGTCTTACTCATTTCTTCATAGTATAATAATGTGTAGTATGTATAAATATATAAATGAGTAAGTCCTCACTATATATATATATATATATGAAATATAGTACAATACATTAGTTAACAATTTGTAATTATTTATTTTATTGCTACGTTATCAAACCACTGTTATTTTAGCCTAAGTGTATACAAAACTAACAGCTACTTACATATAATATAATAATATCAAAATTTGAAGTTTTACGACTGTATGTAGATAGGTATATGCTGACATCCAGACATTCACAAAATTCTTCCATAGAAATTGTTAACATTAATTGCATTGCACAATAATATCTCTAATTATTGAATTTATTTATGTGTTTATTGTTCATAAAGACACATTATAATAAAAGTATACATAATACATAATTATAATATTATGTATTCACAACTGATCTTTGTTCATAAATAGTTCAACTAAGCAACAAACCTAATAAAAACTGTAAAAAATTTAGTTTAATTTATACTTAACCCCCTCCTACTGCATAATCCTGGCTACGCCACTGGTCGCCTGGATTATTATGATAAGTGTATTATATGACATTACGCGTTTTACATTTTGACTGTTTTATACCTGATGATGAATTTTTAATTCTTAACCAGTCTTATAATACTCCAAGCAACGCATTAATTAATTAATTTTTTTTTTTTTATATATATAAGTACATTTTTTTGTACATGAAATTACTGAAAACATGAATGGATTTAATTGTTTGAAAACAAATAATATGGATGGCGATTATGTGACTATCATTTGGTCTAAAAATATGATCTAAATTAATTGTTTGAAAACAAATGATATGGATGGCGATTATGTCACTTATATTTGGTCTAAAAATCCCTAGTTCGGTCGACTGTAGGAAGGAAGGATACGTGACTCTTGTCAAAATCGAAGGGACTAGATATGGATTGTGCTGCGTGTTCATTGTTATAGGTTTTAAGATATAAATCTATCTGCAATACTTGGATTTATTGCAATTTTTTTTTTTAGATTTCCCAAAGAAATCGCATAATAATATCCACGGAATAAGATATGTTTATACGAGCACTGGAGTAGTAAGAAAAGGGAAGTTCTTCTTCAGGCGCAGATGCTGGTGCTGGTGCCAAGAGCCCAGGTGCTATACCTAATATATGACCGCCCGAATTGTTCACCTCTTCATCGACATATATTTTCCGATAATGTTGCTTTAATTTTAATTCGATTAAAAATAATAGTAAAGACCTAACATTTTTACAAAATAATTATATTAGTCTTTTCTAGATAACATTCTGGAAATTCTTGATCTATTCAGAAGCGTTATGAAATTGTTGAGTTTATTTTTGTTTTTGTTTAATATTACGAGGTCTG